TTAACTAACCGACTGTAAAATAAAATTAATTTTTCAGTGACAATCCAGTTACTGTTACCCCGACCCCACAGTCAGCAATTGGTTCTAATTTAAACATTAGCCATATTTTTTCATTTAACGTTATAATATCAATCATTATTTTTATTATTCAAACAATGTTTTGAAAAGTTAAATTTGTTGTACATTGTTAATATTAATATTAGATTACCTTAATTTGATAATATTTTTGTTTTATTTGATGTCTTCTTATTTATTAAACATTTGTTCGTGAGAATTGTGGCAAAACTTTGCAGACATCATTATTTATGTCATACAAAAATTTCAGGGATTAAAATAATGAAATTTTGGCAATGTGGCACAAAAATAGGACACACAAGATTTAAATCTTGGCATAAGGGGATCATAACAACAATAGAAATGTTATATCGAGTTGACAAATTTAGGATTCTTAATATTATTGACTTGCTGCCGAGTTGATTTTCATCAATCTTTAAAAATGAAACCTTCATCCGTTTCAATCGAATAACTATCGTTCGGAGACCTTTCTTTTATATTCCAACAAACTGGGTTGTAATTCACCAGTTTGTTTAATTCAAAGCCGATCTTGCCATCTTGAGTGTCTTTGATGGATTAATTCAAATTCATATTGCGTGAATAGCTTTTTGGTTAATACCGATTACTTTACGTTTTATGATATTTTTATGTTGAAAACAACTTGCAAACTTTACAATTGATACCTAACCATAAACAGATTCAAGATCCTATATATCAATTATATATATATCAATAATTTATTTATAACTCAGAATTTCCATAAATATATATTAAAAAAATTTTTATATAAAAGAAATTTAAAAAAGATGACAATGATAAAAATTAAACTATTGTCCGCGTTTCTAACAAAGCTATAATAATAGTAAATAGAATGTTTTTTATAAAAAACAATACTGTGCAGCATAAATAAACCTATCTTTTAAAAATAGAGTTTTAAAAACACCCTTCGCCGATCAATTCATGAATTAGTTTGCCTTTTGAAGATAAATTCTTCTGAATATATATATATATAAAGAATCCATTTGGGATCCACATACTAGCCTAATACCTAGTGAATTTTCCGAAAGCTTATTTAATGCGGATGATGTCATTTGGGGCATTCCCCTAAAAAATTTTTTCAAAGATTTTCTTTTAATAATTAAAAAGCAAGATGGTAGCAAAACAACCAAAATCAGGTTTATTTATAGGCTTAAATAAAGGTCATAAAGTAACGCCTAGAGAATATAGACCAAAACCTTCTCGAAGAAAAGGGGTAATTAATTTGAAATTATAAAAATTATAATTCTTTTAAATATATATATATATATATATATATATATACTTAACAATTTTTGTTAATAAATTAGAAAATATCTAATAAAACAAAATTTGTGAAAGATTTGATTCGTGAAGTAGTTGGTTATGCACCATATGAAAAACGTGTTATGGAATTGTTGAAAAATTCTAAAGATAAACGTGCTAGAAAGTTGGCTAAAAAAAGAGTATGTAAGATCAAATAAATATCTAGATATTTTTTATATTTATATTAATATTAATAATACATTATTTAAAAAAACCATTTATAAGCTTGGTACATTTGTTCGTGCAAAAAGAAAAGTCGAAGAACTTAGTAATATTATTGCAGAATCTCGCCGTGCTCATTAATTGATAATAAACAATAACTTTATATTTGTCTATTTATACCTTTACCATTTTACAATATAAATTAAAAAAAAGGCTTTAATTTATCAAATTTCTCTAGAGGAATATCAGTCTTTGTAAATGTTTCAATTATTGCAATGTTAATTGTTTCACAATCATCAGTAACAAAAGAAGCCAAAGATCTTTGTAAAGGCTATGGTGTATTTTATGCCTCTATATAGATTATCAACAACAGACTTCTTTTCATGGTTTACAGTATGATTGCAAAAACAACACATTAATTTTCCTGATTCAACATAAACATAATGACTTTTTTCCTGAGACGTTCTAATGCAGTAACCATCATTTTATCAATCACTTTACATAAAAGTAAAATGAACAATTATGCCAATTATGTGAAGGCATAATCCTGGGCACTCGGGCCAATATTCCCAAGTAATGTAACAAATGACATTTTTCCAACACGAGTTGTATTTATATATGATGTTAGTCTTCCGCATCTGCGGTAATTTAGACAAGTGCTTACTTACCCAAACAAAATGCTCGTCTGATTTTGCTTCGCCACCATTTTTTATCAACCCACACGGTAATGGTTAATTTTTGTATCTCAAGAATGTGTGATTGGCCAAACATTTTATGATTTCTTCTGTTCGAACTTGCGTTTATAACAACTTGTCGTTGACCCCAACTCCCGCTAACAATTTCTTCTTCAATTATAGTGGATAATCTAGTAATGGCAGGTGTTGATGTTTCGTAGTTGATGATTTTATTTTCTTGTAAAAGTGTTATGATCGATTATAATGGCTGGAATAGTGATTCGTTCGGTAATGACAATGATTGAAGGTTCCTCTAAAGGATCAAATACCACGTTAATTAATGGCATTGGTCAAAAACTCATCACTATATTTAATAAAAATTCAATACGGAATGACATTTTTTGGTATTTAGTTTATTTGAGTGTTAAATAAATAATTGATAATTCTAAAAGGTAAAATTGCAATGGTCTTTTGTATAAAATATATGCTTCTTCCAGTCTTTTTATTCTTATGGGTGGTGTTCCTCCTACCATGCATCCTTTTTCTTCCACTATAAAATAGTGTGTTTTCTAACTTCAGTTCTCTCGGCCAAAATACTTAATCCCAATAACATATATAGGTTGACAATAGCCTTTTCAATAACGGGTATGATGACTCACTTACAAGATATTGTCCTGTCGTTATTACCAAAATAGCAAGCGTGTAATCCAAGTTCCTAGCCTTTGGCTGTCGAGCGTATAGTTACCCTTCTCTAGCTAGATTTCCGTTAGTTGTATAGCTAGTCACTAACCGCTTTCCTCGCTATCCAAATGGATAATCCTTTACAAAAAAGAAAAATAAAGAATGACAATTATATTTCCGAAAGGCATCCATCCCTTTGGTAATATAGTAAATAATTAAAGATTCTGTGACACTTGTTCCTTCAGCAAAGGTATTCCACAAACTTCAATTTGTTAAAGAATAATGTAATGCAAAGTGGTATTATTTTTATTATCAAGGTGTAAAATGTAACAATTTACAAATAAAGAAATATTAATATTAACTAGTGAGTGCTAACAACTATTAGTAACGTAATTTGCTTTAGTGAATAAGCAGAAGTTAGGGTTAACTAGTGAATGTTAAATAAAGTATTGTCTATAGGTTAATTGGAAATACCGGTAGTATTATTGTAATCTTAAACGTAAGGCTGTTAAACAAGTCATTCAAATTATTTTGTAAATGCACCAAAGTGAGTTTAAAAGGAACTTATAGCATTGTAAAATGGCATCTTTAATACCTATGGATTTTCCTGGTCACTTGATTGATGTTTAAAATACTACTTGCAGGTTGCACCAGGTATTTAAATTTTGAAATGAAGCATCAGGAGTAATTACCGGTATTAATAGAGTTTGATAATTTCATCAAGATGATGCACGCATGTTTTGTAGAGAATCACAAATATATAACATTGGCATTTATGAAAAAATATATAGCGATCTCAAGCTCCCATATTATGCGATATTTTTATCTACAAGTCATGAATAAATTAATCAAATTACATTGGTGAACTTTCAGAATGTGATATTTCTGAGAAATCACTTAAAAGGCATGGTAGATGATGTTCACCATCGTAGCAACAATTTAATTGGGATTTTCAACTTCTAAAACGATTTAAATTAAAATGTTGAGATTAAAGCAACTTAAATAAAGCACTACATCATGCCATCTTTGAATCAATAAAAATTATGATGGCAATCTTAATAGAACATACTGACTTTTTTGGTCGAGTCAATAATTATTGATTATGCAAATCAGGTCAAGCAATCTTTATCAAATAGTAAAAGACGTTTCCAATATTTTATAATTCAAAACAATAGCTTTAAATAATACAATGCATTTTATTTTGGCGCCACTCAAACTGTTGTTAATGTTCATCAGCGTGATGGAAGTTCGATTGAAAACACGATTATAGAACTACTACTATCACATTTTGATTGCTTATAATGTTTGTTATATTTTTATTTTTATTTTTTTGGCCATTGACTTTTTTGAATCTCTCGTTTTATATTTTCTTTGAAATTTTCAATAAATGATATGCTACTTCTTGTACTCTTATCAATATATGGGATAGCTATTAGTTATCCAAAACAAAACAAGCCTTTTAATAAATTTATATGTAAATATAAATATTACTTTTTATTATTATTTAAAATACCTTCTTCTGTTATTTTTGTTAGTCTTTTATGTGTATAAATAGCAAATCTATGAAATGCAGGACTTTCAAGGAGCTAAAAACAATAAAATAAATGTATCAGAGATATTTCAAAAAATTTAAAATAACTGATTATTATTTTTTTATAAACCTTTTCTGTAATGTATTTATTTGTCCTATGTAATAATAATCGTAAAGGCATTAGAAGAAATTAAATTTTTTAAAAATTTATTTTAACGATACAACTCAATCAAATCAGTGCAACATACTTTGTAACAATTTAGAAAAGATTGGCAATATTTTGCTTACATTCTGTTTTATCTTGATATAATTCTTGATTTTTATTGTGAACGTTGCTGGCATCAGTTGCAATGGAAATCTTTTATTAATAAACAGAAGGCCTTTGATATTCTGTGCAAGAGAATAACAAATAGCAATGGTGACAGTACAGTTGTTGCATTTGGTGATGGTAAATTCTCATCAACATCACGTGGGCATGCACCAGGCCCTGTAAAAGAATTTCGCCAGGAGCTTTCTAGACACTGCAGGGTGGTGAACATTGATGAGTTCTGTACTCCTCAGTCTGTTCTTTGTGTGATGGGTGGTTTGATAAGCATCAAAAATTCTGGTCTGTCAGAGTCTGCAAATCAGTCTGTCTGACACATTGGAATTGAGATGTTAATGCTGCCTGTAACATAAGGAACATTTTTTTGCACACAAACACTTATGGAGAGAGACCTGATCCATTTATAAGGGGGACTTACTGACCTCTCTGCTGCCATTTTAACTGTGGCAGGATATGTCTAGCTGGTGGCAGCAGCAGCAATGATGACTTTCTATGAAGCCACAATTAGCTATAGGGAGGATTTGGATCTTCCTGATTTAGTGTAATAAGGTTTACTTGTTATAGATTGTAGAATTTTACTATGGCGATCTGCATGTCACGTTTCTGCCAAACACATGTGCCACTTCAAAAATTTTTGGCTGAAAATGTTTCTATAATTAGCAATAATTTAGACACTTGGGTACATTTAATTTTACAAGATGCCAAAAATATTTTACGTAATAATTACCAACCAAATTTTGACACGGTGAATCTCGATTTAACGGTTCTTTATTAAAAGCTTTATAAATTATAGGAAAATGTTGTCCATGTTCAGAACACGTTTGCCTCTAGTTTCATCCTTTTCCTTTTCAAAAAGCTTTGTTAGAAATTATGCCTCAGAACATATCGTATATAATCTCCCTAAAGAAGACACGTACACAGGATATGAATGCGAGCCTCCGTCTTTAGAAGTTCAAATAACCAAAGAGGAAATAGTTCATATGTACAAGCAAATGGTAATAATGCGTAGAATGGAAGTTACTTCTGATGGTTTATATAAATCAAAATTTATTAGAGGTTTTTGTCATTTGTGTACAGGTCAAGTATGTATATTTATTTTAACAGTATGAATTTTATATTATAATACTACTATATACTATCAACTAATTTATCATGGATTTTTTTAAATTAGGAAGCAGTATCTGTTGGTATGGAATCTGCTATAACACCAGAAGATGCAGTTATAACTGCTTATCGATGCCACGGTTATACCATGGTAAGAGGTGCAACACCTTATCAAATTCTTTCAGAGCTTGCAGGTAACTAACTAATATTATTATTGACTCAATATTAATTGTTCAATTGATTAATTATATTCGTTCTATGATTAGGCCGTAAAACTGGCATTTCAAAAGGAAAAGGTGGCTCTATGCATATGTTTGCAAAAAACTTTTATGGTGGTAATGGAATTGTTGGTGCACAGGTATTATTATGAAGCTACAATATTATTATTAAAATCATGATAGTAAAATATGTATGTATATATATACATATTTAAGAGAACATTATATATTTGCATGTGTATGAATTGTATGTTTTTTACGTTAGATACCTGTTGGTACAGGAATAGCATTTACACAAAAATATAACAATACAAATAATGCCACATTTATTTTATATGGAGATGGTGCAGCTAATCAAGGACAAGTTTTTGAATCTTACAATATGGCCAAATTATGGAATTTGCCAGCAATTTTTGTATGTGAAAATAATTTTTATGGAATGGGAACATCTATCGACAGAAGTTCTGCGAATACACGATTTTACACTCGTGGACAGTATATCCCTGGTCTTAAGGTTAGTATTATAGTGATAAAATTTATTTTAATTGTATTTGTTTACCTAAAATAATCTTGATTTCTTTTGATTAAAAAATAACGATTAGGTTAAT